ATACCACAGCAGCATCACACAAGCAGTCCTGGCTCCTAATGCTAAGTGATAGATCCAGGTGGAATCTGAAGACTTTTTTTATTTGAGGAGCAAATCTGTGGAATTCTGAAGGACATGGTAAAATGTGTCAAAGAGAGCTGATCACACTGCACTCTAATTTGTAACTGTAAGCATGAGGGTCAATGAAATTATGCTCATCTTGTGTCCCTTCTATTCAATAGTTCACCATAAAATGAATATTTGCTAAAATGTAGTTACCCTCAGGCCATCCAAGATGTAGATAAGTTTGTTTCTTCATCAGATCAGATTAGGAGAAATTTAGCATCACTTGCTGACCAATGGATCCTCTGCAGTGAATGGGTGCCGTCAGAATGAGAGTCCAAACAGCTGATAAAAACATCACAATAACTCACGAGTAACCCACACGACTCCAGTCCATCGTCTGCATCCAGCTGCATCCTTAAGGTGTTTTCAGCAAATTTTCATTTCATATCCTTTAATTACAATACAATACAATAAACAAATATAATTCACACATAACATTAATTGTATACACCTCTTCTATGACGAGCATCTTTTTAATTTCTGAATTAAAATTCATTTTGAGATTTTTTTTAGGTGTACATAAAGTCAAAAATGTCTGTGTGATGCATTTGTCCTGATATCATAATAAGAAAAAACAACAACATTATAAAACAAAACAAAACAAAAAAATGTTTAGCATCTTTAGTATTATTTTGTAGAAAAATAATTTTAAACAAAACTGTAGGTTCTGTTTAGGTTGTAAATGTCGTGTGACACTGCCAAAGCTTATATGAATGACTAATTCATTATATTAGCATTAGCATGCGTTTTTTAAAAATGTTTTTTAAAAAAGTCTCTTATGGTTACCAAGGCTGCATCTAATTAATAAAAACATACAGTGAAAACACCAGTATTTGATGCTCAAGAAATATTATCATTATCAGTGTTGCAGTGCTGCTTAATTGTGTGTGTGTGTGTGTGTGTGTGTGTGTGTGTAAACCGTGCTACTTTTTTTCAAGAAAATACTGAATAAAAGTATTAATTATGTTTAAAAAAAAATCTTATTGACTCCAAAATTTTGAATAGTATTATACACACACACACACACACACACAGAGAGTTTAAGGTATATGCTCACATGTATTCAAAGTGTAAGAAAAGTATGTTGCTTTTTATATGATTTTTCATATTTTTATTGTAGACAAATACTGAGCTGAAAATGTGTAGAAAGTTTTGTTGGTGTTCCGATAGTGATAGACAGACCAAATAGTGACCAGTTTTCCTCCTGCTAACAACCTGCTGAAAACTCCCAGTGTGAGTAAGTGAGATTGTGCTATACATTTTTTTCTTAGAGCAACAAAAGGGAAGGCTATCCCAGAGTTCAGCTGAAAAGGTATTGACTGACACAATCTTACACGGTTCAGGGGAGGTTTATGGTCCGAGGCAGCTTCTGTCTGTGGTCAGCAGGTCCTCTCTGCAAACAGAAACGGCACTGGGCATTTTCAGAGATGAGAGGGGCAGAGATGCTTGTTCAATCCTCCAGTGTTTCTAAACAAGGACATCCAGCAGGGAGAACTCAGCCAGGGCCACAATTACCCCATAAATGACCCATTCAGTGGTTTGGAGCTCTTACCAAAACAACCATGAAACCTTACTGTGTACTCTGGTTCAGCTTGAAGAGCTAACTAGGTTTTAGGCTGATTGTAGTGCTGAGAAGAGCAGAGAGGTCCTCACAGACCCCTCGTACAGGGTGTCTCCGGTGACTGATCCACACCTGCGATGATGGGAAAGAGAGCAGCTGAGATCTGGAACCGAGAACCTTCATGAGAAATAAGAACTAATTTTGCTGAAGCATTTGACCAGGTTATTTAAATTAATTATTGTTAGACTTATTTCAAAGGTAAACTTATTTCAAGTGATTTTTGAACATGTACACTATTGAAAAGTTTGGAAAATTAATAGCTAAAAATAAGTTTGTACTGTTTTTAAAAGAAGTCTCCTCACCAAAGCTGCATTTATATAGTCAAAAATATTGTAAAAATAAAGTAATAAAAGAGCAGTCATTACTCAGTCTCTTCAATGATTCTTCAGAAATCACTATACTTTGCTGGTTTGATGCTTAAGAAACATTTCTTTTTACTGTCAATGTTGAAATGCTGAAAGCAGCAATGTTGCTGCTTAATATTTTTGTGGAAACAGTGATACATTCAAAAGTTTGGAGTAAGTAAGATTTAAAATATATTCAATATATACTTCTATAAGGACGCATTAAATTGAACGTGGCAGTAAAGACATTTATATTGTTACATACGATTTCGACTTCAAATAAATGCTTTTCTTTTGAGCTTTCAACTTATTAAAAATCCTGTAAAAATGAATCACAGTTTCAAAAAAAAAATGTAATCAGCAATGTTTTCAACACTGATAATGATTCTGAAGAATCATGAAGTAATTGCTGAAGACTGCATTAATGTCTGCTGAAATTAAAACACATTCAAAAAGAAAACAGTTGTTTTAAATTGTAATAATTTCACAATATTACCGATTTTACTATATTTTGATCAAATAAATAACGTTGATGAGTATTCTCATTGAAGAGACTTCTTTCTAAAACATTCAAAACTAATGATGCCAAACTTTTGATCAGAAATGTAATTCCTGGTAATATTAATGAATTTTTATGTTTTGTTTTGCATAATTTTGGTACTGTGTTGAGTTGCCATTTGACATCCATATGTGTTTGTGTGATAGTGAATGCATATCTGCATATATTCTTATGTGTGCACTGAAAGAAACAGTCAGACTGCTCCTGTATTTACACGCATTACCCTTTTGAACCTCTGAAGCCCTCCTTGACTCCACTTTTGCTGAAAGGAACAGGAAGGATATCACCACTTAGCCTGTGTAAACAGCAGGTCTGCTGTTGAACTGTGGCCCTGCAACTCCTATTGACACACATTCCACTGACCATTGATGGGTCTGCTAGCGCGTGTCTTATGTGCCCCTTGTGTGAAAGTGTGTGTGTGTGTGTGTGTGTGGATATCAGACAAACTTTAAAAGGAACCTGTCAAGGAGGTGGCGAATCAGCTTTGCAAGCAGGACAGTCTACAGATAAAATGCATCAGTCTACTTATTGATTGATTGATAAAAATTAAATGAAAATTGACATTAAAATAATAATAAATATATTATTGTTAAAAATGACAATAAAAATGAACGAATAAATGAACAAAAAAAAAAAAAATTCACAATTTGATTTGTCAATTTTTAAATAATTATATATATGTTACCAAAAAGTTATGTAATGGACAAACAATGGGAATATGTGAGTGTGCGAGGGAGAGATGTGCATGCCATTCTTTGACAGATCTATTGTATGTGTAGGCATGACCTTGTAAATTAATGCAGCCATCAATCTACTTAATTCTCTTTGGATCCATCTTTCCCCTTCACATCAAAAGCCTTTATAATTTCACCTCTGACAAATATGCATTATCTAAAGTAAAAGTGCTTAATTTAGTGGACGTATTATTTGAATATTTGTACAAATCTATAGACCTAAAGTAATTTATTGTGAAGCACCAATGTGGCTAACAGGTTATGTGCTCGTCAATGAAGTTTTCATTTTCTAAATGCACTTCAGCCAGACAAGCCCCACTATCATTAGAAAAGCATGCAGCGAATGAAGCTGGCATCTGATTATTACGTCCATGGGAATACATCTCACTTAAACTCTCGAGTGAAAGTAATCTCATTCAGCCAGCTGCGTGTCTAACTACGCCTATAACACTCTGTGTATTATCTATTTTCGTGAAAAAAAAGTGTCTCTTGTCATGGAACCACATAAAAATGCAAGGACATGTTCAAGGAGATGCTCAACTGTATTGTGCAGTTACTTCAACTTATTATGTTTGAAATAGTTTACATTGGGACTGAAATTAGTTACAAGTTTTCTAATAAATAAGTTTCTTATTGATGATTTTTACAAAGAGTTATCAACTATAAATACAAGTCAAGACCGTTTTGATTTCATGCGAACATTGCTGGTGTAAATAATCACATAAATATATTGGGTAGCCTACTTGTAATATATATATAAAAAATTATATATATATATATATATACAGTTTATTCGCTATAGTTTAGAAAATGGTAATAAAATATGACAAGAACTTAAACTGTGTCAGAACAAATTACACTTGATAATGTCAGATAACTTTGATAGAAAGTTATGTAATGAATTAGGTTGAATAGCTGTCAGCTGTTAAATTTAAGTACACAATTAGATAATAACAATTTAGGTCAACCAGTTACCAAGCAATGCGTAATTTTGTTAAGTCTGTGGTGTAAAAAAGTTTGCATTAGCAATTAAAGAAAAAAACACTTAAGCAAAACATGGTCAGGTCAAAGTGTTTGGTCCCAATTTATCCACTGTATGTAGAATTTTTTGGGTATAATATGTTACAGTTTACTTTAATTTTGCAATCCTCACTTACATAAGTGAACTAGGCCTATAGTGTCCTGCACACACTAGTAAAAAATATCAAAGACTATATCTGGTGTCTGAATAATTTTTGGTTTGACTGTATATATATATATATATATTAAATGTATAATAAAATATAAATCGTTGTATATCCCAGAGCCCCACTGAACCACGAACGAAGGATTTACTTTTTTTTTTTAACTATTATTTAAAAAAAAGTTAAACAAAAGGGAAATATGCATGGGTTTTCCAATGAGTAAAACAAATGCTCAACATACATAGCCTGGGAATAATTTGGTATTAAATGGGTTAAATGACCACTAGGTGGCGCAGGGTTAAAGTGTGCCAGTCGTAATTGTGTTTGCTCAGCGGCGCCCCTAGCGGCAGCGCCCGTCGCTCGAAGTGTTGTTACGCCCCTCATGACCGCCGAGCAGCCAATGGGCTCCGGGAGGCAGAGTTCTCCCTGTGGCCGCCATTAGAGAAAGGAATCCATGAATTCAAATGGAACCAGCAGGAACACAGACCGAGTATACGCTTTTAAATGAAAATGTGCCATTTCATGTAGTTTCTCGTCACCTTTCAACGTTTCTAACGCGGAATGTTTTTCGTTTTTAAACCGCTTTCGGTGGGGATGGAGGTACAAGAGAGTCGTTTTTAAGCTAAAACCGATTTTAAGCCAAGGGGGAGGGAGGAGAGTTGCCTCTTTTTGCTATTCTTTTTTTCTATTTTAATAACACATTCCTCCTCTATTTTTACATGTAATCTATTCCCTCACAGCCTCGTCGACGGTTGAGGCCGTTCTTTTTTTATCTTCCAATTCGGGCTGAACGCGGGAGGCGCGAGCGATCGAATGGGGCTGTTGAATTCCATTCCCCCACCGATTGTTTAAAAATAATTCCGTTCACATTCGACTCGAATTCGGATAAACGTTCTTTTTCTTTTTCCATGGAAAGCCCGATGATGGGATGTTCGAGCGCGCAGTGAAAGGATGAGTTCTTGTTTCGTACCGAACGGGGCCAGCTTGGAGGACTGCCATTCCAATCTATTCTATCTGGTAAGAGATTTAAAAACTAAAAGGAAAAAGCAGCCATTTTTAGCCGCGTAGCATGCTAACATCAGCCCCAGTGGAGAGAGAGAGAGAGCGAGCAGGATCAGGGCCCCAGGGTATGTGTGTGATTCAAACACACGCTGCTTGTTTATTTACTTATTTGTAAGCTTTTCTAAAGAGATTACATGTTTGTAGTGTTTTGCACCAGATGGCTTAACGCAAACCGACTGTGTGTTTTGATTTTATGTATTTGTAAATTGCACGTCACGAAGAGTGTTAGCAGAATGAAAGTTAAAGTTTCTGTTTACCAGCACTTTGTGCAAGTATAAATTAACGTTACTCCGCTCATTTTTAAAAACATGTTATTTTAGGAGTTGTGTAAAACAAAGCGTTTTAGGCTTCAGTTCAAACTCCATGTTCTTATGTTCGGGGGTGTTTACATAAATGTTTACACGCTTCTCTGCAGGCTTATTTTGGGCCATTCCCCGAAAAGGTGCATTTCGTGTCTCTCAAATGAGTCTCTCAAATGAGTCTCTCAAATGAAAAACGTTTCTTTAAGCATATTTTAAAAGCACAAACATTTTTTTTTACATTTTAATCTTTTCCTGGGGACGGCCTGTGTTTTCAACTTCTTGCTTTATTGTTAAATACGTATTATTGATTTAAATGTAGTTTTATACCTATTATTTTTTATATATAATAATAATAATAAAATAAAATCGTGGACACAACGTCTTTTTAATAAAATACTGTCAACAAGTTGTATCCCATGCTTAACTGTTTCCATCTTAACTTCACCTTGCAGTTCCATAATTCAGATTTTTTTTATTTGTCATAATGACATCATTCTTTCATTTTGTTTTTCAGTAGCCATGATACCTTAATTTGTACACTAAGCAGCTAATTATTGGAAACTGGATATTTGTAGAAATATCGGCATTAAATTCCCTTTACAATAATAAACATTTTGCAGTGTCATGACCTTGAGCCAAACTCTAGAAAAAGCTAAATTAACCTGAAAAACTTTGTTTTTGCATTAAAGGCGAAACTATATTCCAATTTTTTTTTATTGAGGTGACATAATACAATCTATCAACACTTAAAAAGGAAGTTACACTTTTTATGGAATCACCCTTTTACCTGATAGTTTTGACAGCTTTGATGCATTTGCATTAATCGTGTGAGCCACGCATCAGTTGTTTGGCTTAAAATAACCAGTGCTGGGTTTGGGGTTTACCTCATGTGTGCAATAAGAGACATGGGGTTTGAAATAGATAGGGCATTCCTGGAGCCTGCAGGTTGTTTACAGCACTTTTCTGCTCCCTAACACACACACGCACTTTTACACACGTGCTGGCGTCCCATTGACTTCTATTGTTCTTAGATTAAGCTAATTATAATAACAGACATTATTTGTTCGGTGTATGCATGTTTTGCTATACATGACATTTTCAGAAACGTGTCCTTCACAACAAAACAAGTACACGGACAGACTCTCGCGAACAGTGTCAAGGCCTTGTGGTGAATTATATAACTTCAGCTTATCAAACATCCAGTTTAATGCCTGCTCTGTTTTATTACTGCCACAGCGCAATCTCTGATATTGTCTGAAGATGGATGGCTCCACTGAGAGCTTGTTTGCACACTTTGTTTGAATGTATTGCTTGATGATTTGAATATGAATAGTTGCAGTTTTCCAGAAACTTGTTTGCGCTCTCAGTCTCGGAAGAAGCTTTTTTTAGGGCCCGAGCACCCATGGTGTGAGGACCCTATTGGAATTGCTACGTTTCTTCTTATTATTATTAGTAGGGCTGGGCGATAAATCGATAACGATAATTATCGAGCTATATACATTTCCTCAATAAACGATATGAAGAGTTTGATAAATGTTCGATATAATGTTTATGCGGCAAAGGCGGAACGAAAGAGCACTAGTCATTTGAAGAGCGCCACTCGGAGTGTTTATCCGCTCGGATCAAAGTTCCAACAGCGACACGGCGTGAGCATTACTAGAGTAGATGATGAATCTCGATCACGCGACACTAAACAGTGCTGTGAGATCCTGTGTGAAGTGCTTGAGTTCAGTGAAGAACACAAATAACTGTTTACAGCCAGATGATACGGTGCTGACAAACAGGAGAAACTTTGGGCAACGATACAGTCAGAAGGCTTTTTAATCTACAAATCGCCATCATTTACCATAGATTTACTGTAGTACCACTAACTGCACCATGGTATTGTGTTAGACATTAGGGATAGGGTTGGGTATTGATTGGGTTTTTTATGATACCGGTGCCAAATCGATACTTTTAAAACGGTACAGGTACCTAAACGGTGCCTGAACCGATACTTAAAAAAAAAAAAAGCTTTAAGGGCTAGATTTTCGCTGGAGGAAACAGCTGTGGTGTGATGAGGGGTGAACGCAGCGAAAACTTTACAGTAGATGGGAAACCGATTGCTCCCTCGTGACCTTTTGTAAACTCTATTTATGACAAAGAACTGCACAGATACAGATATTATAACAATCTATCGATAAACACACACGTTGTGTCCTCTGTTTCTGTTTGAGTCCGCTCGCACTGTGCCGCCGCGGTCTGCCGATTGAAGAGCGCGCTGAAAGACGGGGAGGAGATGAAGTCTGCCGCCGTTTTCATATGAAATTTAAAGTGGACTGACTCTGAGGCGATCACGAATTTGTGTACAGTTTATGGAGCTAATCACTATAACCCCACTAAAAATTGCCTAGCGACGCCCATGCTTCTTACGTCCATTTCGGAGAACCAGGACAAATAGTTCAATCGATCGCTCATGCATTTAAGTGGCACCGAAATGAGGCACCGAAATCTGCGTTCTGATTCGGTTCTAGTACATACCGGTTACATAGGTACCGGTGCCGGTACCCAACCCTATGTATAAACGTGGTTGGGCCTTGCAACTGAGGTAGAAGGCATGTAGTATAATTTCACAAAGCTAGTCAGAACATTCTGTTTTTGCTTCAAATTGGGTTATTATTAAATCAAATTGTTTATGAAATTATATAACTAAATGATATGAAATTATATAAATGATATGTATATGAATTATATAACTACAATTAAATAACTGTAATTACAGATTTAGGTTAAATAAAGATGTCAGTCTTAATTTTTCTTTTTAGGAAACAAATCAAAGAAGAAATAAACAAATTCTACTGTTCCTAATATTCTGTATGTTGCTCAAAAACAAAATATATTGTGTTCAGCGGAATTGTTTTTCTTTTTCTTACCCAATCATTTTAAAATGACACATTTTAGAGCTGTAACGACAATACCGTGATACCGTGAAACCGTGATATTTTTTTTGCTTAAGGTTATCATACCGTCAAAATCTCATACCGGCCCATGCCTACTGGGCAGCTCTATCGATAAACACACACGTTGTGTCCTCTGTTTCTGTTTGAGTCCGTTCGTGCTGTGCCGCCGCGGTCTGCGGATTGAAGAGCACGCTGAAAGACGGGGAGGAGACAAAGTCTGCAGCCGTTTTCAAATGAAATTTAAAGGGGACTGACACTGAGGCGATCACAAATTTGTGTACCGTTTATGGAGCTAATCGCTATAGCCCCGCTAAAAATGGCCTAGCGATGCCCATGCTTCTTACGTCCATTTCGGAGAACCAGGACAAATATTTCAATCGATCGCTT